CTTTGTCCTTCTGCCCAAGACGGAGTGTGACATTCGGGAAGTGGAGTTTGCCCGATGCCTGCGGTTACGCCAGACCTCCCTGGAGCCTATTGCTTTCCGGCTGCCCCGAGTCAGGGTGAGTTTGGGTCAAGGACTCAATCTCTTCCTTTTGTGGCTGACCAGGGACCCAGGAATTTAGGTTCTTATCTGTTCTTTCATCCAAAGCTTCCCACTGTCTACTTTTTGGGAACACCTACTTCTATATTCTACTGAAATTTTGCAAAGCATGTGATTGCCTGTGTGGATGTGGCCAGGTCTCATGGTCCTGGGCCCCTGGTCAGTGTCTCATGATAACCCCCTTTTCCTCTACAGAAAGAATTCTTCCAGGATGATGTGTTCCCGGACACAGCTGTGAGCTGGGAGCCAGTACTCAGTGCCAAAGCCTGGCTGGGGGGTGCTAATGGACAGCCCCAGCTACTGAGTTTGCAGCCCCCTGGCATGACCCCAGGTTGAGTAAGGGATAAAATGGGGAGACAGTGGGGGAGAGGGAATCTGGACAGGAATGGGAGGAAGGAGCAGAATGTCCAAGTACAGTCCTTCGTTTCTGCTGCCACATAGAGACCTGGCTCACCTAAGGATGGCTGGACATGCCTTCAGACACAGTCTCTGAACCCCAGGAGGGCAAATCCTGTGGTTTATGTTTTATCCTAGTACACATGCATATCTAAACACACACACACACACACACACACACACACACACACGTTGTGTACTCAACACATGTACTTTTTTTTTGAGACAGGGTTTCTCTGTGTGACAGCTCTGGCTGTCCTAGAACTCTATTTGTAGACCATGCTGGCCTTGAACTCACAGAGATCCTCCTGCCTCTGCCTGCCACTACCTGACTCACATGCATACTCTTACAAATATATATTTGGGGCAGGTCTGTGAACAGGGTCTTTGATACTTGTTAATGCCACTTCTTTGATCTCTGCCAGAGAATCTCCTAGGAGTTGATTCTAAACAGGGCCTTCTTTGATGCTTGTCCTTGCTCCACCCCAGTGAGCCAAGCCCCCCGTGAGGCCCCTGCCCGAAGAGCCCCATCCTCAGCACAGTACTTGGAAGAGAAGTCTGACGAACAAAAAAAGGAAGAGGTGGGCATGGGAGAGGGCCAGCAGTGCTGTGCAGATACGGGAGAGAGGGCTGTGCTGTGCAGACACAGGAGAGAGGGCTGTGCTGTGCAGACATGGGAGAGAGGGCTGTGCTGTGCAGACACAGGAGAGAGGGCTGTGCTGTGCAGACACGGGAGAGAGTGCTGTGCTGTGCTGTGCTATGCTGTGCAGACACGGGAGAGAGGGCTGTGCTGTGCTGTGCTGTGCAGTGTCCTCCATGTGCTGAGTTACCTGCCAGGTCACCAGCCCCAACCCAGATGGCAAGACAAGCCATGTGTCACACTTGTTTCCACACTAGACTTTGGGGAAGGGTCATACCCAGGGGCCTGCTGCTGTCCCCAAGGCACAGGAAGCCAGGGAGAGCAGCAAGGCACACACATATTAGACAGCCCTTGTCCAGCCAAAGATAAAGATTGGTGACCTAAGCCTATGGTGATTCTGGTGCACATTTGAGCCTTTGAGGCAGTGCTCTTGAGGAGACAGAGCTCCTGTATCTGGTACCACACTGCAGTCTCTTGTCCCTGACACTTTTCCTGTCTTTGCATCTTCTACAATAAAAACCCATCAACCTTGCCAGGGTTCTAATCGAAATGACTCTTTTGCAGCATTATTGGTGTTAAAAATGGGGTTTTAAGCTAGTAAGGTCAGGGAATCATTTCTTTCAGTGCCTCCCCTATCTCCCTTCACAGCTGCTTAACGCTATGGTGGCGAAGCTGGGAAACAGAGAGGACCCATTGCCCCAGGACTCCTTTGAAGGGGTGGATGAAGACGAGTGGGTGAGTGACAGCTGGCCCCAGCTTCTGTAGCCAACAGCACTGTTCCTCCTGTAAATGCCGTGGCTCGCACCCTCCCTCCCTAGGCCCTCTTAACTCCTGCCTCCTGGTTTCTCACCCCAGGACTAGCCTGCACGCCAGGCACCCCTGGCCTCAACTGCCACTGCCACCTCCTAGGACCACCTGCTGCCCTCCACGCCTTGCATCTCTGCAAACTGGACAGTGCTGCTTTGGCCCTGGCAGGCACATCGAGCCCAGGAGCCCTGGGTTTCCTGCAGGCCCAGGCACTTCCACTGCTGCTGGGCCCACTGCAACTCCAGGGACTTTCTGCTCCCCTCCCCTGCGGGCCAGCTGTTAGCCCAGCTGCCTGCTAGCATGTGACACCAGTGGGTGGGAAGGGGATGCCAGTGGCATGTCTCTGGGCCAACCCCGGATGCCTTGTCTCTCCTAGTCTCTCTGCTGGCTTCATCTAACATCGTCAGTTACTACATGCCAACCTGTCTTGCCTGCTGCCCCAGCTCCAGTCAAGGACATTGGGGGCTGGTCCCCCACCAGGCTGTTGGGAGCAGCTTTATCCTCAGGGGCCTAGGACCATTTGCCCTGCTTCCCTTGGCTTGAGGCCAGGAGAAAGGGTCTTGCAGAGCTAACAGCTTCATTACAGTGGTGTGAACCCCACAGCCAGCCTATCCATGCTCTGGATGTTTTCATCAATTAAACTTTTCTAAGTTGGTGCCTCTCGTGCTGATCTCTGGGAGTCTAGAAAGAAGGGGACAGAATATGAGTGAGAGAACTTTGGTTCTGGGCTGTCCCGCGCTACCGTCTCGCCCGCAAGAACGACGCGGGACACTTAGGATTCTTCTGCAGTAAAGCTTTATGCGTCTTGAGAGGGAGAGCATAAGCTTACATGGCGGAGACCCAGAATGAGGGGAACCCAGCCCTTATAAAGGAAACAGTCCTCGCTTCTGACGTGTCACTCTTGGATTGGTCCGCTGCCCATTATCCCAGATGATGCCTCGGGAGTAGGCAGGGACGCAGCGGTAGAGAGTTAACAAGCACATGCGCTGGGATTAAAGGCGTGTGCTACATCACCTTGAACTCACAGAGATCTGCCTGTCTCTGCTTCCCAGGCATTGGGACCAAAGGCGTGTACTACCACACCTTGAGGTCACAGAGGTCAATCTCTACCTTTGTTCCTAGAAGCAATGGAGAATGTGGTCCGGCCCTCCACACTGGGCTCCTTCATACTGGTTTTATTTTGCTCCATTTACTTTGTAATGATCAGCTGATCATAGCTTTGTCCTAGGGAACCAGGCCATGCATAGGAAAGCAGCTATGAGGAAATCTGTGAACTGCCTCGGGGGGCGGGACAAGGAGTGTGTCAAGGCAAGGAGCCGAGAGGAGATACTTGTGTTCTTTGAAACTGAAAACTAAGACCTAAAGGAGCCAAGCACAAGCAAAAGGAAGTTGAGCAGTGTACCTGGGTAAGAGAGAATGTGGAGAGCTAGAGGGAAGGAAGGAAAGAATGGGCAGTGGGCTAGAGCAGGGGTTCTCAATCTGTGGGTCACTTAAGACCACAGATATTTACATTGTGATTCACAACAGCAGCAAATTACAGTTACAAAGCAGCAACCCACCACAACATGAGGAACTGTATTAAAGGTCACAGCATTAGGAAGGTTGAGAACTACTGGTCTGGAGGAATCTGACTTAAATCCATTCACCAAACACCTATAAATGTCCATTGCATGCCAGACAGCCTTCCAGGCTTGATAGCTAAGAGTAAACACATAAATGTTCTGGCCACTGAGAGTTCATACTCTAGTGAGAAGGCATAGCAATAAATGATGAAGATAAAAATATTAAATTATTTAAATTCATTATTTATTAATTATTAACTATTGGATTATTTTACAAAAGGAATTATGTCATAGAGCAGCAACCCTTTAATACAGTTCCTTGTGTTATGGTGACTCCCAACCATAAAATTATTTTTGTTGCTACTTCTTAATTGTAATTTTGCTACTGTTATGAACTGCAATGTAAATATTTTTGGAGAAAGAGGTTTGCTAAGGAAATTTCGACCCACAGGGTGAGAACCACTGTTGTAGAGAATGAGAGCTTCAAGAAAAGCAATAGAGCAAATGGAGCCTGAGGGGATAAAGCAGTCACGAGAGACCACATTTAGTTCTGATTCTATAGAATGTCCAGAGCAGACATGGACACAGTTTTCAGAGTAGGGAAGGGACTGCCGGGTGGAAATGGCCTGAACGAGACGGTGGCGATGGCAGAACTGAATTGTGCACTCAAAAAGGTGGAACTGTTTGGTGTGTGGATTATGAACAGACCAGAGAAGACCTTGTGAGGACCTGAAGAGAAGAGATATCCCTCTGCAAGCCAATCAGAGAAATTTAAATAAAAAACAAATCTGGCAACATGATCATCTTGGACATAAAGATTCCATAACCAGCTAGGTGGTGATGCACGCCTTATCCCAGCACTCAGGAGGCTGAGGTAAGAAGATCTCTTGAGTTCAAGGCCAGACTGGTCTACAGAGTTCCAGGACAGGACTACACAGAGCAACCCTATCTCGACACCACTGTCCCCCAGAAAAAGGATTCCAGAACCATCAGAAAATAAAATAAACATCTGTTGTTTAAAGCACACCCCAGACCCTCCAAAGCAGAACAGCGTGGTGGGCGCATCAGTGTTGTGGGGGAACTTGAGAAGATGGTTTTGGATTACATACTTGAGGTGGGTGGGGACGGGACGAGCCTGTCGGGTATCTAGGAGTTTCACAAGCAGGAGAAATCAGCAATTAAACCTATTTTGAAGTACCTAGTTTTCTCAAGTATTTCAGAGGATTTGACATCCATTCCTATATTACTTTGGCTTATTTTATATGATGGCTTCTTCTTAAATTTTCGGGAAAATGAAGGAAAGAAGCTTGGTGCACCAGTACCCACCCAGGGTCTAGAGCCGCCCACGCTCGCACCGCAGTCTTCTGACCCCGAGGCAGGCTCCGCCTACAGTCACAGTGACTTCCGTCTGAGTCCCGCCCCTGGAACCGCGCCGCGGCATCGCGCACGCGCTCTCCGGTCTCCCTTGACCTCTGACCCACCGGCCGCGGAGGTGCTGGTCCCACTGAGTCGGGAAGCTGCCCCCTTGCCCTTGTGGTGGAGCGGCCGCCATGGTGAGACTCGGGAAGGGAGGTCGAGTCAGAATCGTGAACCGCCCGCGTACCCCACAGGAAACAATGTCTGTGGCGTGTCGCGGGGTCGCAGACCGTTGACGCCCGGGCGGGGACAACTGCGGGCCTGGGAACCGAGGCTCGGCCGGCAGGAAGCCCCCGGCTCAGTCCGGCCTCCACGTCTCCTGCCTCGGCGTCGGCGAGCCGCTGTGGGCGGTGGGAGGAGGGGATTGTAGGGTGGGCCGGCTGCTGAGTGGCAGGACTCGGCGTTGTCGGTGATGTCGCTCGGTTTTTAACCACGTTTGACAGTTGGCTCGTCCAAGGAATTGGTAGACCTGGGACCTGAGCTGAAATCGAGACCTGGTGGCTGAGTGTATGTGGGAACCATGCAGGTCACCTGTGCAACCTTTAAAAGGCAGGTTCTTGAGGGTTGCCCGGGTGATCGGAAGGCGGTTGGTTGGGGAGCCCATTTGTTTGTTTCCTTATCTGTTTATTTTCTTATTGGAGACAGGGTATCACTGTGTATGAGACCGTGGCTGTCCACATACGTTCTGTGTCTTAAACTCATCTCATTGAGATCCACCGACCTCTGCCTCCGGCTCTCCAGTGCTGGACATTAAAGGTGTGCGCCACCACACTCGGCTGGGGAGCCTGTTCTTTATTGGAAGGTGGCAGCTAACTGCTTTCAGTTGCCTTATGTAGATTGTTATTTAATCTGTCTCGGTTGTCCCCGTTTTTACACTTAAAAGACCTGAAGCTCCGAGAAATTTAACTTTTCCAGGAAGTTAAATCTTTCACGGAAGAGTCAGAACCTGGTTTGGGTCCCAGTTTTGTTCGTGTTCTGAGACTACACATGTCCCATCATACAGTACCTGCCTTGTAATTGGGTCACCAACATCTAGTGGGACTTGTGTTGATTCCCCGTGGAACTGGGTCTTTATCACGTGTTCTCCACATTTCAACTTGAACTTCTCTCAGGTGGTCATGGTAGCTTACACTTGCAAACCCAGCACTTGGGAGGCTTAGGAAGGATGGTCAGGAGTTCGGAACTAGTGTGGATTCCATGAGTTCCAGGGCAGCCTGCATACTTTAGTAACGAGGGCTGAGGGTATAGCTCAGTGTTATAGTGCTTGCCCACCGCAGGAGAGGCCTTAGATTCAATGCCCAGGACGCTTCCAAAAGAGGCAAAGAAAAGCTCTGTGGGAGCCTAGGGATTTTCATCTGGGAGTCAGGTTATAGCGTATTTTGCCAGGCCCTGAAGGGTGTTGAAGATTTTTGGTTTGGGGCATTGTCTTGCTCTGTAACTCAGGCTAGCCTCAAACTCTAGGTCCCCTCCTGCCCCAGGCTCCCGAGTGTTGGAGTTATAGGTTTGCGCCACATCGTGCCTGGGCAGTGTTGAGTGTTGGCCATATCCATGTAGAAAGGAGGGTATTCACAGTGAAGGAACTCAGAGCAGTGGAGACATTAAGCATTAAAGAAGCAGGAGAGCTTACCTAGAAGTAAAGAGTGCAGCTGCCATGGGGAGGAAGGGTAAGAGGGAGAGAATCCAGAGACCAAGGCTGGCTGGGGTCAGAGGCGGGAGGAGGAAATGAATTTGCACCACGTGAGAACCTTAACTCAGCAATGGCGGCATGGAAACCCTGCCTGGGGAATGAAGCCTTGGCCAAGCAGAGTTAAGAGTGACTTGATTAAACTGTTGGTTCGTGGAGTCTTAGGACGAGCACTATTACCTGCTGAACTATCTTCTTGGGCCATCTATTTGTTTGGGTTTTATTATGAGATCCAGGCTCATGTGCACCCTACCTGGGCCTCCCCACTCTGCACACCAGACCTTTAGTGATTTTGTTGTGTTGTATTTATGGACAGAGTCCAAGTCCTAGGACTTGAAGTCTTGGGAGAGTTAGGATGGATCTATTTTTCCCTGGTAACATGAACGCTGGCCCGATGGCCCCAAAAGCAGAGAGGAGCCATTAGCCTTGGCGTGGATTAACCTGGTGGCAGTCTGGGACCGATTGTATTGTGTACTCTCAAGCCAGTTTCTTCCCATAAGTCAGTGTTGATTTCATCCCCATAGCCTTTCCAGTCTACCTCTGGGGATGCCAGCAAATTTAGAGCCACCCAAGGAAGTTTAGAGAAGTTAGCCCTTAGATCATCCCCACATCTCCAAGGTGTTCCTTTTGCCCACAGGCCAAGTACCTGGCCCAGATCATTGTGATGGGTGTGCAGGTGGTGGGCAGAGCCTTTGCCCGGGCCCTGAGGCAGGAGTTTGCAGGTAAGACTATCCCTGCATACTGGGAGCCCCGCCCAGTTTAGATTTTCCCCATGGGTTGTGTCAGTTGTGAATGAAGGGACCTCTTTTAGGTAAAGTTCTGTGGCTTAGATGCTGGAGTACTTTCCCATGGGAGGAGGCGATACCAGATTTTGAGACATTCCTATATACAGGAGAGGTTTGTTTTCAGTTTGTCCTGGTTAGCACAAGTGTCCAGGGCCGATGGGTCCCTTGGCAGTCCATTTTGGTAAATAAAGTAAGATAGCCCCATCTTCTGTCTGCTTTCACGGAGAGCTGAGTAATTCCAACACAGACTAATTGACTGCAAAGTTAAAATGTTTATTATCTGGCACCTGAAGAGAAAGTTTGCTGACTTCTGAGTGTAAGGTCACCAAAGGAAAGCAGTCCCCCAGGTGGTCTGGGTACCAGCTAGGCCAGTTGTGGAGGCTCTAACACCAGCTACTGTTCCTCCCTTAGTTTTACTGTAGTCCCCAAAGTAGCTTAAAGCTCTCAAATTTGCTAGGCCTCTGGGACAAGGAACGGGGTGGGGGAAGAGGGAGAAAGGGACAAGGTCATCTTTTGGCCTAGATTGAAGGACCAAGAGCCTAGTTTGACCCCATCTTACCCTTCAGTGTGGAATGTTTGCCTCTCCCATCCAAAAAGAAGCCAGTACTAAAGAAAAGCTGTTCCCAGGTGAAGTGTTCCTTTAGTGTCACTTAGAAGGCCTGGGGGAAGCTCTGGGCCACCGAGGGGGCTAAGTAGTCACCCATGTATCCACAGCAAGCCAGGCAGCTGCTGATGCTCGGGGTCGTGCTGGGCACCAGTCTGCAGCTGCATCTAACCTCTCTGGCCTCAGCCTCCAGGAGGCCCAGCAGATTCTCAACATCTCCAAGCTGAACCCTGAGGAGGTCCAGAAGGTGAGGCTTCTCATCGGTCATGGGACTGTGTTGCATTGAGCAGTCAAAGGAGGGTGGGTGTGGAAGCTCTGACCACAGTCAGTGAGAGACTGGCTGTGCAAAGTAGAGACACAGCTAGCTGTAGCAGCTGAGCCATCCTCACAGGGTTACATTTATCCTTTGGACACAGCAGCTTCCTACATGACATGTGGGTCAGAGGTCAGGCCCTTTAACTTCTCTTGCCATCAGCCTTCCCTGATGTTCACTGTCTCATCTCTGCAGAATTATGAACACCTATTTAAAGTGAACGATAAGTCCGTGGGTGGCTCCTTCTACTTGCAGTCAAAGGTGAGTGCTTTTAACTCTATGAGGAAAGGAAGCCATAGGTTTCCCCTTCCACCTCAGAGTGCTACTTAAGTTGTTTGAATCTTGGCAGTCTGCTGTCCTCTAGGGAGGCTGTTAGGGCCTGGGACAGGAAGGGGAAAGGCCCTTGATTCAGGCAAAGAACAGAGATTGCCAGAGCCTGATCTTCCTCCTCCTAGGTTGTCCGTGCAAAAGAACGCCTAGATGAGGAACTCCGAATACAAGCCCAGGAAGACAGAAAGAAAGGGCAGATGCCCAAAACGTGACTGCTGGGCACACCCCACCCCACCCATTGCCTCATAATTTATAGCTTGGTAATAAATATCTTTTCCATGTTTATCCGGTGCTTATATTCCTATTTGAGAAGGTCGCTCACTTCCTATTTGGGGCTGTGAAAGAGTCAGGGGGCAGCAGCTTTTGACAGCCTGGTGGGTGGGATGTTGGTGAACAGCCACATACCCACTTTAGAAGCCTGGCCAGGATCTGTCAGAGGCTTTGTTCCCTCCTGTGTGTTCTACCACACATTCCTGAGACCAGGGGGTCTGCTCATGCCTTCCCTCAAGATAAAGAACCCCTAACCTTAGAACTCCACCTAGAGTTGCATACTGCTTTCAGTGACTTGGTCAGAATGTTCATGTGTAGCAGGAAGCAGCTCTGGCCAGCGTCTTGCTTGGGCCAAGGCCTAAACCTTGTAGTTGAGGATAGTCTGTATCTTATTGTTCCTTATTACCTACTCTTCCAGGTCTTCCCTTTGTAGTCCCAAGTGGGTGGGCCTTCTGATCTCTTCTTTAGAGTGGAAGGTTGAAGGGAAAGCTCCAGGCCAGGTCTTTAGGTGTCTAGTTGAGATGCCCATGACCAGGCACAAAGCAAGTTACCCAGCTCCTGGCACATCTAATATGCAGAAACCATCTTTGCAACTCACTTTTATTGTTTCTTTATAAACTTCCTCTCACATGGAGGAAATAAATTGTTATAGTCATTAGCTTATTTTTTTTTTAAACTCTATGCTAACAGCAATGGAGCCAAAAGGAGGAAAAACATAAGCTACAATAGAAAGGCACTTAGAACCTGTTAAAATACTGATGTCCTGGAATGTGCAACAACAAACTGACAAGTACACCGGCCCTTCCAAGCCTGGTCTATCACTGAATCACATGCTGAGTTAATGTCACCTTCCAGTGCCCTGTTCCTCTGCTCTCGGGCTTGAGTCTCAAACCCAGTTCCCAGCCAGGGACCTAAGGCCTAGGGCCCTAACGGAGCCAAGGGGCTGCTTGGATCATGGGTAGACCCGAAGACAGGAGACCAGCTCCTTAACTTGCTCACAGCCCCTTCAAGGGGTAGAGTCAGCACAGCCGAGCCCTATCAGGGCTGGGGTCCTAAGCCCAGCAGTCGGGCAGGTCAGGTCAGGGTGACCCTTCTGAAACAGAAGGGCAGTCTGGGAAAATGAACAGGCAAGCTGCTCAGAGGAACCACAGAGCTACTAAGGACCCCTACCATCCCAGCAGCTCTTTTGTTCTACAGATGGGGAGAGGAGGAGCTTAGCCACTCTGCATCATAGTACAGGGGACAGCAAGAGGCCCAAGCTGGCACATCTAACCTTCTCTGGAGCTGTAGAGTACAGTCCTCCAATGTCCTTGGCTTATTCTAGCCCTACATCAGCGCTAGACCTTATTCTGAATAGTACAAGCCCTAGGGGAGCTGGCTTGGGTAGAGCTTGTGGGCAAAAGAGGCACCACCAAGAAAAGGACTCAACTGGAAAGTCTGAGAAAACAATCTTGTCACATGTACAGTCCACTCTCAAGCCAGCTTTTCCCTAGCAGACAGTTGGTCCTCTAAGAGCTGCTCTTGGTTGCCTAGCCTTCCTCCCACCCATGGGCTTCAGTTCGTGGTTTCTAGAAAGCTCCAGTCTGATGAATCAGTCCTTCCTGCATTCCATGACTTCGTAACCCCCAAACCTGTAGCTGCTTCCCAAGCCTGGTAGCCTACTGGTGTAGACTGCTACAGGATATCCAGGCTTCTGCAGGATAGCACTGCCAGGCCAACCCAAGCTGGACTGGACTAGTGCAATGATCCTTTGAACCTGCCTGTACACTCCCCAGGGAAAGGCGAGTGCTCAGCTACCCCTTCTTTAGAAAGTGTTGCCAATCCTTTGGCAGTGCTGACTCAGGCAGAAGGGGGCACTGGCAGCAGGCTTCTCTGCTAAGTAAGCAGGGAAACACCTTGTCATAACAGTAGGTAGGAGAAGGCAGCTTTGTCCTGTAGCTTGGCCTGTGTCTGTCTTGCTTTCCCTCCAGGGGGTGTACCAGAGGGAAAGGAGTCTAAGGAATTCCCAAGCATGGGTTTATGATCACTGAGGGCTTCCCGGTTGACAAGTAGGTAAGGCAGGGAAGAATAACAACCTGCCCAGACTGCTCACGGAGAGGAATGTACCAGAGCAAGAGGCAGGACTGGGGGTCCTTGGAGGACAGGCAGAGGAAGGCCTCCCCCAAACGATGTGCTAGGGAATGGAGGCAAGTGAGGCCTTAGCATCCAAGAGCATGACCTCCTTGGACAGCAGGTCCAAACCAAGTCCGCACTCTGGAGCCACCAAAGACCTAGCTAGCACCATCCTTGCTACTCAGCTTGTCTGGGGCTGCAGCTTCCCAGGAAGCAGACACTTGGGCCCCTGAAACAGTAGGATATTATTGCTATTTCGCAGAATAGTTTCTGTTCGTCAGGGGATGAGCCCACAGTAGGTAGCTGGGCTGTCACATCTGGTAGATGGGTAGCCCAGGTTCAGTTTACCACAGCTGGTTTGAGCAGCACAGACCCTGGAGGGATGACCACCCAGCCAGGAGTTAGCGCCTCTGGACTGCTGGCTGCTGAGTTGCCCGTGGACAGGTCCAGTACAGTTCCTGGTAGCAAGGGGAGTCCATCAGGGCTTGGCCGGGAGCGGCTGCGCTCCGTCCTTTCCAGGGGAGTCTTATGGTCCTCTAGGCCCAGGACCCTGGCAGGCAGTGACCCACGACCTTTCTCCCCCTCAGCCTTGCTACCAGCAGAACCACCCAGGAGAGAGACCACAGGTAGGCCTAATCCACCAGCTCCAAAGGGTGAGGGCAACAGTGGGTTTTTGGCCAGATTGAGGGGCAGAACAGAGCCTGGCAGCCCAGGGCCCATGCCTCCACCCCCACCCCCACCTCCACCATTGCCACAGGCCAGAGCACTGAGGTCAAGGGGACCAGGGGCCAGGGGTAAGGGCAGGCCAGGTAGACTGGGGCCTCCAAAAAGGGCAGCAGGGTTGGGGATGATGATCTGAGCTCCACTGACATAGGAGCCACTGTCGGGAGTGGGCAGTGGTGGTTTCGGGGGTGGGCGCAGCTGTAGGAGCTCCTGCTGCTCCTGAGACACAAAGTGGCCATGGGCTTTGATGTGCTTGCGCAGTGAGCTGGGGTCCGTGTAGCGCTTGTGGCAGCCAGGCATCTTGCAGTAGTAGGGCTTGTCTACGTAGTGGGTACGGGTGTGCTTGAATCGGTCACTCGAGTTGGAGTAACGCTTGTTGCAGCCCTCGTAGGGGCAGACGTAGGGCTTCTCACCTGTAGGGGTGGGCTGCATTGAGGGGTCTCAACTCCGCCAGATCTTGCCACCTATCCCCTTGCCTCTCCCAGGCCCAGAGCTCCTGAAGCATTCTGACTCTGATTTGGGAGACAGTCGTTGCACCTGGCATGAGGCTGCCCCAGCTAAGGAGAGCAACCAGAATTGCTGTACACCCTTCAGATCCCTTTGCTATAGATGCTGTGGATGTTGTTAGACAGAACTCGACCTTGAAGTGTGTGCCCTTGGTGAGCACTAACAATGCTGCCTTGGCCCTTCACGTGGCCTTACATAGAACGGCTCACAATTTTGTTGTTGTTGTTGTTGTTTGTTCTTGTTTTTGGAGACAGGGTTTCTCTGTGTAGCCCTGGCTGTTCTAGAACAAGCTTTGCAGACCAGGCTGAACTCAGAGATCTGTCTGCCTCCTAAGTGCTGGGATTAAAGGCATGCACCACCTTATCTGGCTTCAATCACCAAGTCACTATGCTGACCAGGACAGAAGCCACCTGTAGCCACTCAGCCTTTGAAAGGAAGCTGGGCTCAAAAGGAGATGTGCTGTGAGGCTAATGCATACTAGATCTCGAAGACCTTATATGAAAGGAAGGATTTCAGTGTTCTGCTGTTTAGTTTTGATCATTTTAATTTTTTGAAATGGGATCTTACTGCGTTGGCAAAGATGGCCTTAAACTCCTGAGTTTGCCGGGCAATTGTGGGGCATGTCTTTGATCCCAGTACTCGGGAGCAGAGGAAAATGAGTTCTAGGATAGCTAGGGCTACAGAGAGAGACCCTGTATCGAAAAACCAAAACCAAACAAACAAAAAAACCCAACTTCCCCCTTCAGCCTCCTCATTATTTGGGAATATAATACAGACATTCATCACCATGCCTAGGTTTGCTGACATGTTTTTATATATTGGGTTTCATGAGATACATAATTATAATTAATTTAATTTCACCTATTTCCTTTTTTTTTTAATTTTTTTTTTTTTGAGACATGGTCTCATTATATAATTCTTGCTGGCCTGGAACTTGCTCCATAGACCAGGTAGGCCTTGAACTCTGACTCCTAAATACTGAGATTAAAGGTTTGCGTTACCATGCCCAGCTTGCTCTTTTTAATGTACTAATTGAGTAACTTAAAATAAGGTGTGTGGGTCTATGGGGCTCAGGGTACAATGAAGAGAGGCAGACCCAGTCTGCCAGTCCTAAGGTGGTGTTAGAAGATCATACCCAGGTAAGGGCTTCCCCAGCAAATGGCCTTCAAGGTGATAGGAAAGCCACGCCCATAATTCCCATAATCCCAGCATTTGGAAGATTAGGAGTCCATAGCCACCCTTGGTACACAGTTAGACCCAGCCTGGGTTACATGAGACCCTGTGTCAAACAAGGGGAGCAGGGCATGAACAAGAGATTTGTCCCTCTTTCTGGTCTTTCCCTGGCATCCTAACTCCCCCATGAGAAACTGACCTGTGTGGGAGCGGTTGTGGATCTTCAGGTTCTCCAGGCGGGAGAAGCTCTTGTTGCAGGTGGGGCATCGGTGGGGCTTCTCATTGGTATGAGTCCGGATGTGGATGAGCATCTTGTACCTGCTCCAGGGAGGGCCCGGAGGCACACTCAGCTCAATGGGCACCCAGCCCCTCCCTTCCTGCCCTTACCCTGCTCCCTCACCTGGCATTGAAGCCACGGCCGTGGCGGGCACAGCCCTCCCAATGGCAGCAGTACCGAGCATCCTGTTCCGGCTTGACATGGTGGTCGTTGACATGGTCAACCAGGTCTTGGAGGAGCTCAAAGAGCTGGTTACACTGTAGGGCCAGGCAGGCAGGGTTCTGATCCCAAGTAGGGTGCTGGCCCAGCCCTCACCACTCTTCCCAGCTCCCAACTCACCTTGGCCCATCGACACACCAGCTGCTTTGCCAGGGGCAGCTCTGGTGAGAGGCACTTGTCCTTAGGGGGCGTGAGGAAGGAGGAAGCAGGTAGGTGCAGAGCTCCCCCAGAGCCCAGGGGCAAGAAGAACTGGAAGGAACTGGGGACACCATCCAAATAGCGAAGTGGTTGGAAGTCCTAAGGAGTAAGGATAAGAGCCTGTTAGTGTACCCCACTGGCAGGCCCAGACCCCACCCCTACACTTTTTTTTGTTTTGTTTTTCAAGACAGGGTTTCCCTTGTGTAGTCCTGGCTGTCACCCAGAGATCCACCTGCCTCTGCCTCCTGAGTGCTGGGATTAAAAGTGTGTGCCACCACTGCCTCCAGGCCAGACTCTTCACTTTTGCCCTCCTGTGGACAATGTTAATTTACATCATTGCAGCCAGGTATAAGGCGCCTTTAATTCCAGTACTTGGGAGGCAGAGGCTGGCAGATCTTTGTGAGTTTAAGAACAGCCTGGTCTACATAGTGAGTTACAGGACAGCCAGGGCTATGTAGAGACCCTGTCTTAAAAATAAAATAAAATAGGGCTAGAGAGATGGCTCAGTGGTTAAGAGCATTGCCTGCTCTTCCAAAGGTCCTGAATTCAATTCCCAGCAACCACATGGTGGCTCACAACCATCTGTAATGAGGTCTGGTGCCCTCTTCTGGCCTGCAGACATACACACACACACACACACACAGAATATTGTATACATAATAAATATTTTAAAAAAATAAAAATAAAAACAAGCGGTGTGGTGGTGGCACATGCCTTTAATCCTAGCATTCAGGAGGCAGAGGGAGGCAAATCTCTGTGAGTTCAAGACCAGCCTGGTCTACAAGAGCTAGTTCCAGGATAGCTAGGACTATCACACAGAGAAACCTTGCCTTTCGAAATAAAGAATAATGATGATAACAGCCTAAAAGACACCCTGAGTGCTAATCTAAGGCACCTGTGTGTATAGATAACCTTGTTTGAAAATAGTCTTTTCAGCCGGGCGGTGGTGGCGCACACCTTTAATCCCAGCACTCAGGAGGCAGAGGCGGGCGGATCTCTGTGAGTTTGAGGCCAGCCTGGTCTACAAGGGCTAGTTCCAGGACAGGCTCCAAGGTTGTCTCAAAAAATAAATAAATAAATAAATAAAAAATAATAAAAGAAAGAAAGAAAGAAAATAGTCTTTTCGGAAGTGATTAGTTAAGGTGAGGTCCTGCTACAGTAAGGTGACTCCAAATCCAACACCTTATGTCTTTTTGACAAAGAGGAAGGCCTGGACAGACAGACACACGGGACCAGCTGAAGATGTGGTCACGACAGATGTCGTTACCAGCTGGGGGGTGAATGCCAAGCATTAGGGCTTCCAGAACCTAAGAGCAAGGAAGGAGCCTGCCCCTGGAGCCTTCTAAGAGCATGGTCTTATCACCATCTTTACTTCAGAGTTTTTAGAACTGAGAGAATTCCTTTCTCATTTCAAACCACCCATTTGATGGCACTCGCCAAGGAGCCCCAGGGAGCCTCTGTGTCTCTAGAACCTCCCACCTCCTTACCACAGCAGTAGGCAGTGGCGGCAGGTCACCACTGCCCTGGCGCTCAGGGGACAGGGAGCTGCTGCCATTTGGGGAGTCCAGTCCAGACGGTGGTGATAAGCTGAGGTCCACCAGGGGGGCTGTGGAAAAGCGTCCATCTACCTTCTCAGGGAACTTGGGGTTCAGCAGGAAGCCTGAAGAAGATTATGTTTCAGGGAAGCTGGCTAGAGTCCTGTTGGACCAAGTTCCACTACTTTGGGATCCCTACCACCATCTTTGACTACTCTGGGAACCCAGATATCCATGGAACAGACAGGACAGTTATTGTGATGAAAATATCATCTTGTCTGACCTTCACCAGGAGAGCAAACAGCAAATGTGCCTAGCATGGTGGCTCACACCTGTAATCACAACACTCAGGAGGCTGGGGCAGAAGGATCAAGAATTCAAGGCCATCCTGGGCTACCTAATGAGTTCATTGCCAGCCTGGAATACACGAGACCATCTCAACAACAAAAAGACAGAAAATTTAAAATTTCAAGTACCCATCTTAAGGATGAGACTTATCTGACACATGGAATAAGTAGTATAATTGGAACCAGACCATAAGACTACCTCACTCTCAGTCATCTTTTGCCTTAGTGTTCCTTTCTGTAAAATGGGAAAATTGGGGTTTGCTGACTCTATCTCAAGCATGTGGTTAAACTGGTTCTCAAGTCCAGGTGAAGATACAACAGACAAGGTGAGTGCCACATGGTAGGTGGAGCACAAAGCATCTGTAAGACACATCTGCCTGGCTCTGTCCCCAGTCACCACCTAGTTCAACCAGACATACAGTCTCAGAGTCCAGGGATAATCTTGGGACCACTACTGCTGCTTTGCCCCTCTCTGTCCTGCCTCTTTTCCAGATCCTTCCACAGGCCCTGATTGTAGCTAGTCTTACATGCCCAGTGAGTAAACTGGGCAGGTCTCACCCACTTATAGGATGAATGGACAAACATGGAGACGATATTCTCAGACACAGTACCTGGTGGGGGAGAGCCTGGGGAGCCAGGTGTGGGGCTATCATCCACCAGGCCCAACTCCCTATGCAAAGCATGATGCCGGACCACACCCAGCGTCCTTTCCCGCTTCTCTCTCGCCGCCCGGAGCTTGGTGATGCTCAGCTTTAGGTCAAGCGGCTCGTCCAAGGAGTGCATGGTGATGTGGAGGGTCAGAGAGGGTACCCAGCTGGTCTTCAGGCAGGAACCTGGGGAAGGACACAGGCTGTGCGGTGACACTGTAACCTTAGGTTTCTCTTTAGCTATACCTTAAAACTCGAAGCAGCAGAGGAGTAGAGACAACATCCTGAATGGCCTGACTCATGCATATCATGGAGAGTCAACATCTAAACAGTGCAAGATTCCACTGCCACTCCCCGTAAGCCTTTGGGATAGGCCAAGTCTGTGGTCTCCATTTAACAGTGAGAATAGGTGTTAGAAACTGGCCCCAGTGACAGAACTCACGAGCTGGCACAACAGCTAGACATGAAGCTACATCTCCCAGGAACTAACTGGCTAAGTCCCAACTGTCACTGCTGATAGAATGGGAAGCTATATTTGGGAAGCCTGCCAGTCTGAATTCAGAAATCTAAAAGCAGGCCGGGGAGCAACAAACATCCTCCAAGATGTAGGTAGCATTCCTCAGTAGCCAATGAAGCACGCGTTATGCCAGAAGTGCCTGTTGAGGCCAGGGAACTCTGTCACCTCTAAGGGAAGCAGGCTGAGGGCCTGTCCCAGGCAGGCTGTGCAAAGCTTGGCCATGGGAATGGGCCAAGACAAGGACTGAACCTTCCAGGTAAGACAGAAGTTAGGCCTTCACAAGCCACCAGGGGGCGGCTAAGGACTGTGGCCACGCCAGCTATGACCAGCAAAGGACAGTAGACAGTATTAAAAAAAAAAAAAAAAAAGCTGTAACAATATTCTTATAACTCCATATTGTGATATTCCTCCAGTTTGTACAATTTCTGACTGTTGTAATCTTCATATCCATGGGTGGACTCACAGGCTCCACTGACCTAAGAACATGGTCAGCTCTTCCACACCAAACTCACTTCATTTTTCCAACAGCAGTCTCTCTGCCCATGAGAAACCCCCTCCTTGTTTCCCCTGCCTTTGTTCATTTTCAGATTGTCACACCTTGAAAATATTTTTACTAAACAATCACATTATGAGATTCTACCACTGTATTTAATAAAAAAAAAAAAAAAAAAAAAAAAAAGTGGGCATGGCCGAAGAGCCACTACCTGGGAAATACTTGGAGCAGTTTATTGAGTGTATCCTTGGGGGCTTGTGGGAGCCATGTGCAACCAGAAAAGTACCCTTACAGGGGTGAGCAAGGCAGCGGACAGCCACTGTATCCCAACCATCTCTTCTCCAGGTCAAGACTCTGGGGCAGCTTCACCTGGTTCTCACTTGCATCCCAGCCCTGCACATGCTTCCCATTGCCTCCCACAAGCTCCACCCTTCAGGGCATTCCCTTCCTTGGCCTGATACTGCTTGTGAGGACAAATTCCCAGCTCCCACTACAGCGGCTCCATGGGATCTGGGCACACAAGGCTGCTTTAGTGGAGCACAGGAAGCCCCTCCTGACTGAGATTCGGGTCCACAACTTGTCCCCATTGAAGTTGTCAGATGCACTTGTCCTCACTGACACCTTGGTGACCCTCTTAGGAGTCCCAGACCCAGGTAGATGGGTAGGTGACAGTGATGGGTGGTCTTGGGCTTGCTCATCCATTCCAGTCTAGGCAAAGGCTGCCCTCTGCTTGACCTGCAGCCCATTATGTCTGTCTGTCTGTCTCTCTACCTGTTTATTTTTAGACACAGGCCCAGTCCAACCTCCCTGAAGCTGCTCTATGCTGGGAGCCTGGAAGGGGAGGAAGGAAGTAAATATTTATGCTGATTAAGAATTCAGGAGCCAGGAAGGGCTGGTGGCCTGGTCCCTCTTCTGGCCCAAGGCCACAGGCCTCCCTGCCCCCAACACCCACCATGGAAAAAAGAAGATCACTGGCATGGCGCCTGAGCTAGAAACCCAAGTGCTGACTCCTACTCAGAGTGCCAACCGAGCAGGAGCCTTTGGCACCTGCTCCTGCCCCATGTTGTCCTCCCACCAGAGGGAGCCTAGGAGGAGCCACCGGTGTGTCACCAGGTTCTGGGGACCTCCACGGAACAGTGCAGTGTTCACCTAGGACTGGAGAAGGCCCCAGCAGGAGCCCATCTCCCTGGGTGGAGCACTCATTGCAGGAAAGGGGACACCAATTACTGCCCCCCCATTAGCTGACCCAGTCTCCAGGGACACCCCTTCACTTCCTGTCCCTGGGTTCTGCCAAGGGAGGTAGGGGGTCATTCTTGGAAGCCAGAACCCAGCCCAGGCGCCGCAGCCCCTCCTGGGAAAGGAGGAAGGAGCCGCCCCAAGGAGTCTCACAAGTTTTCCTACCCATAGCCCCCCAGGGAGTAGAGGGCCTATGACCCCACTCATGCTCTGACCTTGGCCAACCTCTCCCTGTTCCCATTCCCAACCAGCATCAGCCAGTCTGAGCTCAGCTTTGCTCTTTGTTACCGAGCTAGGTGAAGGGGCAAGCGAGAGGCAGGTCCCCCACTTTTCTAAACAGCCTCTGCGGTTCAGCTCCTCCAGAGATGTCTCTGTCAGCACCAGCCAGACTTAAATGCTTAGAACAAGGGGGAGGGGGAGAGTGTGACCCAGAAAAGGTGAAGCTGCCTCCCTAGCCACGACCCGGCTGCTTGCCCTTAAGAGTTCTGGAGATCAGTGGGTCTCAGGAAGCTAGTGGTTCGCAGGGACAGGGGCCCCACGTATCTCCCAGTTCACGGATGCAGTGTCAAGGGGCAGGGAGCACACTAGCCCGTCACTATCCCAACCTTGCTGGGGAAACCACCACGGCCTCAGTTTCCCTACTGGTCGGGATGGCTGAGTGCCTCAAACCCTGTTCTGACTGTGCAGCTGCGATCACTGAGCAAAGGCTGCGCCTCACAGCGCTCACTCCCGGTAGGCTGGGTGCGCCCCCGCGACACACCCACCTGCATGGGTTCGCAAAGGGAGCCCGCACTGAGGTGGTCGCATGGCCCAGGCCCCACGAGGATCCTCCAGCTGCAAAAGGAACTAATTAGAACAGAGGGAGCTGAAGGAAGCGGCAGTGAGGGAGGAAGCGCAAGAGGGGGCTGGCTGAGCAGGGACCACCAGGGCAGCAGGGGTGGGGACAGCCCTCCCACAACCCGGGGTGTGGGGGGGTCACCCTGAGGGTGGGCTGGTGCCCCCCCCGCGCCAGCCATACCAAGACAATGACTGCTATTGTGTGCCTGCTGCTGACCCTGCACAGACGGCCCCCAGCTGCAGCTCCTGCAGGGCATCCGGCCCCCTATAGACCTATCTGCCACCATCCCTTCCTCTTGGGGAAACCAAGCTTCAAAGTCACCAAGCTAATAGAAGGGGACTGGAATCCTGCTCAAGATGCCGTCCTTCTCTGTCCGAGAGAGGGTATTTGGTTGGCCTTGAGACTGGAGGGGTAAAGAGGGAGGGCTACCTATGCTAGATAGTTCTTTAGTCCCTGGCAAACATTAAAGGACTAGGACCTCAGCAAGGTGGGGTCTGTATCCTTGTCCACCTACCCCACAGCGGTGTGACTAATGATGAAGATCACGCCATTTCACCAGGGGTAGTTTTGAAATTGCTCACTTGATGAGCTATAGCAAACCCAGCCTAGAACTTGCTACGGGCCCAAGATGCAGTCGGTCATGGTGGCACATGCCTATAATACTAGCATTTGGGAGACAATTAGATCAGTAAATCAAGGCTAGCTTCACAGTAAGTTCCAGGTCAGTCTGGACTAGCACACAAGCATGCACCCGCGCGCGCACACGCACACACACAGGCCCTGGTGTGTGTCTCCGAGTCTGGTAACTTGGACCCTTACTTTAGCACTCCACTTTTACAGACTAGGAATCTGAAAACTGGGTTGGGTGGCAAGATCAAGACCAAAGCCATGGTGTCTATCACAGTGACTGCCCTAGCCAGAGGCTGATGGTTTAACACGTTAGCATCTGTTACAGCAGGTGACAGTTCATGCCACTTTACAGAAGCAGAAAAAGGCTCAGGAAGGTGGCCTGCCCTGGGTCACAGGGTTTATCACCCCTCCTGTGTCCTTGGACTTGCTTAGGTTGGTCACCACCTCCCAGACCCGAGGGCTTCTGGAGTTAGGTGCAGAACCAGGAAAGGCGGCGGGCAGGCAGTGGGTGGGGCACTGGAGGAGACGACAGGGTCGGGGGCCACCAGAAGGCTGGGAGAGCCGAGGCAGCAATGCTGCCAAAGCAAACTGCCCATAACCCCACATTCCTGGGAACCGGCTGTGCTCCCTACTCTGGCCAAGAGCTCCACCCTCCTTGGCCGCCCAGTGAGGGAGGCTGGAAGGCAATGGCAGGGACAGGACCTCTCAGGGCCCCCTTCCCAACCAGGCAGCAGGCAGGGTTCCAAACATCGGTCAGACCACAAGAAGCCCCAACCCTGTTCCACTGCTTCCTGCCATGTCCCCTGACCCCCTCCTCTTTCCTAAGGTGGGATGTAATGTTCAATGCACAGAACAGTTAGACACACAGGAGGCACTTATTAAACCCATCCTAAGTAATACCACTGCTTAAGTCTCAAGTCTGGAAGGACAGCCCCGTTTGAGGACTGGCCCTCCCTGTGTACCAGTCTTCCTGGTACCAGTCCTGGAAGGGTTTGAGGGTTGCCTTCCTTGGAAACCCCTGGTTAGGTGTAACCCCCTCCGAGTCCCAAGAGGGGCACCTAGCCTGCAAATGCCACCTCAGAAACTCAGATGTCCCCAGACAACCAGTCCAGATCCGAACGCATCTCTGCTAGAGGACACTGGGGATGTCTGAGCAGCATCCGAGCACACAGCTTGCAGAGAACTTGACTATGGCAAGTTCACAGAGCAAAGCCAGCATTCAACTATCTGGTTGTAGCCTCCTCTGGCTGTGTGGCCTCAGACAGGTCCCAGTCACTCTCTAAGCCTCCGCAGGACAGTTTCCTCATTGGTAACTCAAGCACCACAATAACAATCCCAGATATACAGGGCCTTCTATAGGACAAGCCTTGGCCCAGTGCCTGGCACATGGAAGATGCTAGTAACTAGGAGCCTTGGAGGTTCTCACTTCTGCCCAGGCTGGGGGTGACCCACACAGTGAATCTACCAAGGTCACCCAGAGCTGAAACAAAAGGCTGACAGGATTGCTCCCCCTGCACCCTTCATCAGCCTCTACCAGGGGGGCTTCCTTGTCCTGTGGCAACAGCACTTCCACATCCATTCATGCAAGCACGTGGCCCTCCGGCAGCAAGGTCTGTCCAGCCAAGGAGCCTCCAAATGTTCTGGTGGCTCGGGGCCCCCTTCTCTGGCCCCCACCTCCTGCTGCCTGCCCGCCTGCAGCCACCTTTGCACAACTATGTCTGGTATTTTCCTGTCTGCCCAGCTTTTGGTGGGGGGGTATGGGGCCATGAGCAAGCCTGCACCTGGGCCTCAGCCAGAAGCAAGCCAGCCAAGCAGCCCCCACACCGCCTGCCAGGCTGGAAGGGAAGGACACAGGGCTGGGCAAGGCCACCGAAATCCCTGGGAGGGGTGGGCAGCAGGGTGTCAGACAGGGGTACACACCCAGCAAGTCAGCAAGGCCAAGAATAGGCAGAACTGCCCTTGTGGGACTGGAGATGGAGTTCTTTTGGTTAGAGTGCTTGCCTAGCATGTACACGGCCCCGGGGTTCTATC